ATGGAAAAACGACGTTAGATAATGGGAACGAGTTGGGTGTTTTGAAATGTTTTGCTGGTTAGAAAAAACAGGGTATACTGTATGATGGCTGTCGTTTATTGAAAGCTGGCAAATCCATTTCTCGCTGAAGTAACGTTTAACGTGATCACGTTTTGATGATGTCACACTCTAAGACCGCCATTTTGATTGAGTACTCTAAATTACAACAAATAGAGGAACACCTATATATGTTTTTAAAAATATTTTACCTTGGAAATGAAAATTTGTCATTGAAACAGAAACATCCAGAATGTCGTGGACCCAACTTGGATAAATCGTAAAAACTCGAGTACGATGGGGAAGTGTGGTTGCATCCCCATGTTGATGATGATGATGTTTATTGTTATGTTATGCTCAACTCTATTATAATATTGCCTGCTTCATTTTGAGAGGCTTATATAAATTTAATGTACAGTTAACTCAATAATTTCTCATAAAAAGTAGCCTTCATAAAAGGAAGTAAAACCGCAATATTTTCTTTTTTTTTTAAATTTGGTGTCAATGTACCCCCCCTCCCGCCCCCCCCCCCCCCCAAGGGTGAGTACAATACCACGTGACCCACACTTCACACCTGCGTAAGTTCACGGGCAACTGGCGAGTCCCGTCAAGGTCTCAGGAGCCCCCCCCCCCCCCCCAATCCCACTACCGTCCCTCTCCCATTTGGTTACACTGCCCCATCTCTCGCGTGTATCTAAACAAGGGAAGGCACTCTAACATTTTCTCTTGCGCCCCTTTCATGTGGGCGTGATGTCTTCGTCATGTGACCATGGATATGTTTTCTGCTCTAGTACATGCTATGTTGGTGCTCTGAGCTCTACACTTCTACATACACATCTACATACACTTGAAGATACAAATCTACATACACTTCTACATACACTTCTACATACACTTCTACATACACTTCTACATACACTTCTACATACACTTCTACATACACTTCTACATACACTTCCGCATACACTTCTACATACACTTCTACATACACTTCTACATACACTTCCACATACACTACTACATACACTTCTACATACACTTGAAGATACACTTCTACATACACTTCTACATACACTTCTAAATACACTTCTACATACACTTCTACATACACTTCTACATACACTTCCGCATACACTTCTACATACACTTCTACATACACTTCTACATACACTTCTACATACACTTCTACATACACTTCTACATACGCTTGAAGATACACTTCTACATACACTCCTACATACACTTCTACATACACTTCTACATACACTTCCACATACACTTCTACATACACTTCTACATACACTTCTACATACACTTCTACATACACTTCTACATACACTTCTACATACACATCTACATACACTTGAAGATACACTTCTACATACACTTCTACATACACTTGAAGATACACTTCTACATACACTTCTACATACACTTCTACATGCACTTCCACATACACTTCTACATACACTTCTACATACACTTCTACATATACTTGAAGATACACTTCTACATACACTTCTACATACACTTCTACATACACTTCTACATACCCTTCTACATACACTTGAAGATACACTTCTACATACACTTCTACATACACTTCTACATACACTTCTACATACACTTCTACATACACTTCTACATACACTTCTACATACACTTCTACATACACTTCTACATATACTTGAAGATACACTTTTACATACACTTCTACATACACTTCTACATACACTTCCACATACACTTCTACATACACTTCTACATACACTTCTACATACACTTTTACATACACTTTTACATACACATCTACATACACTTGAAGATACACTTCCATATACACTTCTACATACACTTCTACATACACTTGAAGATACACTTCTACATACACTTCTACATACACTTCTACATACACTTCTACATATACTTGAAGATACACTTCTACATACACTTCTACATCCACTTCTACATACACTTCTACATACACTTCTACATACACTTCTACATACACTTGAAGATACACTTCTACATACACTTTTACATACACTTCTACATACACTTCCACATACACTTCTACATACACTTCTACATACACTTCTACATATACTTGAAGATACACTTCTACATACACTTCTACATACACTTCTACATACACTTCCACATACACTTCCACATACACGTCTACATACACTTCTACATACACTTCCACATACACTTCTACATACACTTCTACATACACTTCTACATACACTTTTACATACACTTCCACATACACTTCCACATACACTTCTACATACACTTCTACATACACTTCTACATACACTTCTACATACACTTCCGCATACACTTCTACATACACTTCTACATACACTTCCACATACACTTCTACATACACTTCTACATACACTTCTACATACACTTCTACATACACTTCCACATACACTTCTACATACACTTCTACATACACTTCTACATACACTTCTACATACACTTCCACATACACTTCTACATACACTTCTACATACACTTCTACATACACTTCTACATACACTTCCGCATACACTTCTACATACACTTCTACATACACTTCTACATACACTTCTACATATACTGCTACATACACTTCTACATACACTTCTACATACACTTCTACATACACTTCTACAAACAATGCAAGATACTTTTCAGTAATTATTCCGTAAATTTCTTATGTTTTGCGTATCAAGAAAAATGTGCTATCACTAATCACGCCAATAATCTAAACTACGATATTTAGGCGTACACTGTAAATTACGATTTCAAATTAATTAATTTGTGGAAAAAAATAAATGATCTGGCAGTTACTCATGTATGTTGGTGTCCTTCCCATGTGGAATCAAACAGAGAACATGAGAGTTCTTTTGACTAAAACCAGGAGTTGGAGTAAAACACCTAAATGAACCAAACCTAAACCTTAACACATCGATAAATTACGTCTACCCGTCCTTACTCTTCTCACACTTTACACTCTCACAAACTACCTGAATTACGGAATGTCTGTAGGACCCCCCCCCCCCCACACACACAAACACACTCCCCTCCCCTCCCGACAATGACGACTTACAGCCATACGCTCCGAGCTCTCGCGTTCTTTGGACGCCATGTTTTCCTACGTCACGCCTATTGCGTCTCTCCCCTTTGAAATCCCGGGCTTTCTCCCGCAAACGACGAGGGAAAACAGGTGTCGGAACGGCAACATTTTCCACTGCAGACATTATCCCCCCCCCCCCCTATAAACTTTACGGCAGAGAGAGTCGATAACTTGTAGAGAAAAAAAATATAAATAACCCTTTACAAAATATCTTTAGAGAATGTAGGGGGGGGGGGGGGTGAGAGACATGTAATCTGTTGTTCAGAAAAAAGACATATCATCAAAGAGCTAACATACATTAGCACCGTGGTTGTAAAAAAATAGATGGAACGTATACCATATTTTAAATCTTATTTACAATCGTAGGCCAGCTGTATATACGTTGTAGTGTAGCTAAATAAGAGCTGAGTTCTCAACCGTTAGCTAGAAGGGTTTGTGTTAGTTAAAGAGCAAGGGACCAAGTTATACCAAGCTACATTTTGTTTTGTAAATCCGTATGAGATATTAACAAAATATTAAAACGCTTTTTTAACCTGGTTCGCTTTTTACCCTTCATAATCATGATGGTTCAACCCAAAATGTACGAGTTATTTTCCAAGGTTAAACTAATTCATTTTCATGTTTTCGTGGTTTAACCAGACTCACTTTTTAATCTGCTCACTTTAACATCTATATGCCAGAAATGTAATAATTTTCACTCTAACCCTCAAATTTCAAATGTTTGACACGTATCACTTAAGCCCACAGAATCCCAATGTTTAACTTTTAACCCTCAAATTCGAAAAGTTTAAATAATCTTATTTTAACCCTCCAATCTCCAATATTTAACCCTGCACACTTTAACCTCAAGGCTCCTAATATTTAACCCATCTGACCCCCCCCCCCCCCACACACACAATCCAAATATTTAACCCATCTAACTTTAACTCCATTACTTCAAATATTTAACTCGACTCACTTTAACTCCATTACCCAAATATTTAACCCATCTCACTTTAACTTCCACACCCCCCATATTTAACCCATATCACTTGAACCCCCACACCCCAAATATTTAACCCATATCACTTGAACCCCCACACCCCCCATATTTAACCCACCTCACTTGAACCCCCACACCCCCCATATTTAACCCATCTCACTTGAACTCCCACACCCCCCCCCCATATTTAACACATCTCACTTGAACCCCCACACCCCCCACACCCCCCATATTTAACCCATCTCACCTGAACCCCCACACCCCCCATATTTAACCCATCTCACTTGAACCCCCACACCCCAAATATTTAACCCATATCACTTGAACCCCCACACCCCCCATATTTAACCCATCTCACTTGAACCCCCACACCCCAAATATTTAACCCATATCACTTGAACCCCCACACCCCCCCATATTTAACCCATCTCACTTTAACCCCTACACCCCCCATATTTAACCCATCTCACTTTAACTCCATTACCCAAATATTTAACCCATATCACTTGAACCCCCACACCCCCCATATTTAACACATCTCACTTGAACTCCCACACCCCCCCCATATTTAACACATCTCACTTGAACCCCCACACCCCAAATATTTAACCCATATCACTAGAACCCCCACACCCCAAATATTTAACCCATATCACTTTAACCCCCACACCCCCCATATTTAACCCATATCACTTGAACCCCCACACCCCCCATATTTAACCCATCTCACTTTAACCCCTACACCCCCCATATTTAACACATCTCACTTTAACCCCCACACCCCCATATTTAACCCACCTCACTAAAACCCCCACACCCCCCATATTTAACCCATCTCATTTGAACCCCCAGACTCCCCTGACCCCTACAAGTTGGACCTGTCCGTGAAGCCGAGAAAAGAGAGGACAGCCTTCACCAAGCACCAGATCCAGGAGCTGGAGAAGGAGTTCACCCTCCACAACTACCTGACCCGCCTCAGGAGATACGAGCTGGCCGTGGCACTGGACCTGACGGAGAGACAGGTGGGTCCCGGGTCATTAGCGGCATGCCACACCCACCTCAGGTCTACGGCTTCAAGGCTGGGGGGCGGGGGGGGGGGGGGGTTGTTGACGTCAGAGGTGGGGGTTAGGGTGGGGTTTGGGGGACAAGTCACATCTACGGCTTCAAGCTTTGGGGGAGAGTTTGTTTTTGGAGTTGTAACGGTCGGCTTACGGTGTGTGTGTGTTTGTGTGCGTGTGTGTGAGTATGGATATGGTAGGTGAGATTGTGAAAAGTAGGGGTGAGAGGGGGTATTGTGTGAGTGGGGGGGGGGGAGGGTCGGGTGTTGGAGTTTCTTATTTCATGGCGTTTGTTTATCTTTAATGAAGTCCAAGACGGCCCCTAAGTGGTTTAGTTAAAGGGAAAGTTAACCTGAATGGTTTAATTAAAGGGAAAGTTAACCTGAATGGTTTAACTAAAGGGAAAGTTAACCTGTACGGTTTAATTAAAGGGAAAGTTAACCTGAATGGTTTAACTAAAGGGAAAGTTAACTTGAATGGTTTAATTAAAGGGAAAGTTAACCTGAATGGTTTAGTTAAAGGACAGCTAACCTGAATAATTTAATTAAAGGGAAAGTTAACTTGAATGGTTTAGTTAAAGGAAAGCTAACCTGAATGGTTTAATTAAAGATAACATTTTAATTAAAGGGAAAGTTAACCTGAATGGTTTAGTTAAAGGAAAGTTAACCATTACTGTTGGTTTAATACTGTGGTTTAAAGTGTACTAGGATAAGGTTAGGTTTTGAGTTAAAATATTTCGTATTTAGGATAAGGATGGCAAGGGTTCGAGTAGAGAATATTGAGATCATTTCTTATGTGATGTCGTATGTCGTGTCCTGTAGATAACCCGCATAAATTCACGGCTACATACAAAACACGTTTAAAAATAAACCGGGAGTGATCTCCCCTAAACTTTCTCGAATATTCTTATATAAAATAACAGGGGATGGGAACTCGGGCTATAGAAATGATTTTTAATCCATTTTAAATACTTAAAGTTTTAAAAATAGAATAAAATCTCGTAGACAAATTAATTGCACACCAAGTGAACGCCAAATAAAAAAGCGCATAATAGTGCGCAATATTATTAGTACTTTTAAAATTTACATTAGTTTTTTGAGAAATCGGAAGTAGCGTAAATTACTACTTCCGGTCAACGGAAATTACTCAAAATTAAATAGAAGGTAGAGAATTAGATCTTTTACTTACATGTGAAATTTCATTTATCTATCTGAAATAGTACTCAAGTTATAGGCTTTTGAAAAATTCAAAGTAGGAAAAGTACCACTTCCGGTTATTGGAAATCGCTCAAAAGTTGATACGCATCTACGATTTTGATAAAATACTTATATATGAAATTTCATCAACCTAGCTGTAACGGTACTCAATTTATCGTGTTTACACACACACAGACACACAGACACACACACACAGACACACAGACACACACACACACAGACATACGGACAAGATTGCAAAATTATGTTTTTCCGTATCAGTGAGGTGTAAAACGTCGAGATTTGTAAAAATCTCGATTATTTTTTTTGCACGATTACAATACTTTTTCTATACTACGTATATACGAGAAAGTAAAAAGGGATGTTAGAAAACGAATTTTAGACGTTATTTCGCGTTTTCGAAAACTGTTTTAATAAATTGTAATAGGAATTGATTAAAATACTCTATTTTGACAGAGTTCAGACAAGATTTTAGAAAAATTTCGATGTTTAAAAAAAAATTCAACTGCAATTATGAGGTGGGATGTAGGCTGAGGTATGACGTCATTTTAGGGGGGGGGGGTCTTGCTTTTTGTGACGAAGTGTGACGGAGGGGAGGGGGGGGGGGGAGGTAAAAATCGTCCAAAAAAGCGTGACGTCATTTATGGATGACCCCTATAGCGCATTCCCTTCCAGTGGTTCTTTCAGCCGTCTTTGTACGGTGGGGGGGGGGGGAAGCACTCGATATTTTCGGAAGGGGGGTGGGTGGGCTGGACACTGATAAAAGTAGTGTATAATTTCTATATAAATTCCATTTCATCCCGGGATTGGGGGGGGGGGGGGGCTCAATTAAGCCCGTGGAAGCTTGAACTCCATTTCTTATGGTAAAAATGCTGCAAATACCCCTAATTTTGCTTACGATCCCAAATTTCGCCTGCAGTAAATACCCCTAATTTTACTTACGATCCCAAATTTCGCCTGCTGTAAAGCCCCCAAAATTTACCCTACTGTAAAGATCCCAAAATTCACCTTCTGTAAAGATCCCTAAATTTGCAAATGATCCCAAATTTACCCTGCCTTAAAGCGCCCAAATTACCCCTGCCACCACTTGACTGTGAGTACTCCCGCTTGCCGTGCGCACACCTCCACACGTGCGTATTTCATCCATCAAGCCTCGATCTGACATCGGAGCTCGCGAGGCCAACAGCTGGGAATGCGGTGCATCACGGGAACGACTCTTTAGCCGTTATCTCTGCATCCTTACACGTCAGCCTCGTGCTGCCGCTGGTCAGATCTCGCACGCTGCTCGTGTTTGATGTCGGTTCGAATCCCGCGTTAGCCAATACATTAAACAATTCACCGCACAGGGAGAAGTTATTTGATTGGTTCGATATCAACGAATAATCATACACTGGGTTGAAAACTCGCCTAACGATAAATACATCGACAGTTTTGTAAAAAAAAGAAAAAAAAAAACTTTTTCTCAGCATATTTTTAGTAATGAAATTAAAAGTTAATATACTTTAAATATACTTATTTTTAAATTTTTTTTTCAAGGTCAAGGTTTGGTTCCAAAACAGACGGATGAAGTGGAAGAGGGTCAAGGGCACAAAACTGGTCAAGGACAAAGTCGACGGGCAGCTCAAACCAATCATGGCGCCCAACGTGACGTCAACACAACATGGCGGCGGGCACGTCACATCCGGTCTACCTGACGTGCACCACGACAGCCTAGATGACAGCGGGCGGGAAGACGGAGATGACATGTCAGATGGCTTGGATGACATGGGCGAAATGACAGGACTGTCGGGAATGTCATAAATTTCCTCACCCAGGAATTTCACACGCTTCTGAAAAAAAAATTCAGAACGTAAAATAACTAAACCAGGAAAAGTCATACATTACTAAATCATGGAATGTCTTTAGCTTCCAAGGCCTCAGCTGATGTATTTCTCTAAATGGTTTCTTTTCTATGGTGAAACATAAATATTTTGTAGTACCTAATAGGTCATCTATACCAAACTCTGAACAATCAAGTGTTTAAAAGAAACGCGCTTTGAATATAGCGTGAAATATAATTATGTACATACAATTTTTTATTTCATGCAACTATGAGCATCATTACGCGCACTCACTTATCTGACATTATTACGTCATGTATGGCACAAAACTTCTGGAAATGACGTCATTTCCTCTGCGGAAGGAAAACGCTCATTAAATTGTGTTTATCGCTCGTGGCTTCCCCTACAAACGCCGTGGACCTGCGTTTATTTTCTTGGAAGGTGCGCAAGTGTAGAAAATAAACGTCGCATTGTGTTCGGCGCTAATGAGGGCGGTGTGGAGCTTTTCGGGAATTTCCTAATCTAAGGAGAAAGACTCTCAGAAAGAGAGAGAGAGTGTGGAGTTATTGCAGATAAACACTCTCAAATAGAGAGAGAGAGTGTGTGGCGTTATCGCAACTGAGATATGTATAAATGTTGCTACTTTAAATAAAAACAGTCCAAGGCTGCTTTGATATTGACAATTAGCAGGGTGAAATTCGTTGTGTAAAAAAATTCAATTGTTTTAATAAACCTGAAAAAAAAATTGAGTTTGATTCTAGCCTTATAAGAAGACGAACAATGAATCAAGACTTGACCGGCATTAATGTCTCATGAATTGTACATTGTAATGTAGGAGAAATTTAACCCTTTACCGGTTGAATATTTCCTTCACAACGTGCCTATGTTATGGGAACTAGGATATAAATCAACTTTATTTTCCCCCCTCTTTGATGCATTGCAGCATAATGCAACGTCTTAGAGCGAAGGTTACTCGTGAATATATTTGACGTATGCTGCCAGCATACCACAGAATGCTGGAGGTGGCTCATGGGCCGACATTTCTGATGTATGAATGTAGAGTTATCTTCTGAGTCTTCTGCCCTTCTTTTGATAGACTGAACACATGTTTACCTGATACAGAATGATTACCATGTGTTTAGATGTTTACCATGTGTTCAGATGTGTACCATGTGTTCAGATGTGTACCATGTATGTGTACTATATTCTGCAGATGTGTAATATTTGAGCTATCCTCGTCGCCATTGTCTTCTGCACGATGACTCATCTGTGTGTTAATGAAAAGCTTTGAATTTAATGACGTCTTCTTGTTTTCTTTTACGTTCGCTCGTAATGTTGTATGACTACCTGCATGTGGGTTTATGTTCTTTTGTTGCTTGTGGATATGTTCTACCCCCCAAATGGGGAACTTAGCAACCCTGAATGTTTTAAATAAAATGGTGCGTTGGTCTCTATCAGAGTATGCTGAGATTTATTTTTTTTAAAATTAAAAATTAGGTACTTTAGTGCCAGTAAAGCTTTACATACTTTTTCTGCAAATTGACGAAGTCCATGTGTCTAAATATTAATATGACGTGAAACAACCATCTATTAATATGACGTCAGTGTACCTACTACTAATATGACGTCAGGTGACCTCCTATTGAGATGACGTCAGTGTACCTACTACTAATATGACGTCAGATAATCTGCTATGAATATCACACCAGATGACCTATTAGATCACCTACACATGATATTCCACCTTTTCTGCGAAGACTTTTCCAATCATCCACCACAACCCCCGCCCCCAACTCGCTCAGACCCCCACCACCACCCAACCCCTCGTACCTACTGAACCCGGACACCATCCTCATGAAAAAAAAAACCGTCACGCATGATTGATTGGCTACATGCATTGTGTAATGAGTTTACGGCTGGTTGGTTTCTCCAACTTACGAACCATCTTGTAAGACATTTGCAGATGTTTCCTCTTGTTTTTTTTTATCCTCGTGTTTTTGTCATGGTTATACCTGTATGAGTGAAGTCTTAGAACTGTATGAACAAAACATGTTGCATGATAAAGTGTTCAGTGTTAGGGCTGTGTTAGAGGGTCGAACTTGACTTGAAGCGATCTACTACCATTTAAAGAATACCACTACCATAAACCAGTATGAGTGATGTCTTAGAACTGTATGAACAAAACATGTTGCATGATACATTGTTTAGTGTTGGGGCTGTGTAAGAGGGTAGATCTTGACCTGACGCGATCTTCTACCATCAGCAGAGGCGTAGCGACCCCTGCCGGCGCCCGGGGACAAACTTTCAATTAGGCGCCCCCCCCCCCATATATTTTTTTTGTTTATAATTCAAAACTGCAGCTAAAATGAGCTTTTACTTTGTTTTTCAACCCATTTTGGCGCCCTTAGGGTCGGCGCCCGGGGACATATGTAACCCCCCCACTTTTCTACCGCTCTGAGCATTAGAAGAATACCACTACCATAATCTGTCACATCAAAATAATACATGCGATAATTACTTGACACAATGCTTACTATTTTCTTCTTCAATATTTATTCAACTACTGTACTCTGTTAAATCCTCATACAATTATCCTTGATTACAACATCACACGGAGTACCTCTTACATTCACTACCTAGAACTAACTCACTAGCTTTCTCACTTTCAGACCACAACAATCAGTTTCTATCGCAAAACGTCAATGTCTTTCACTCACGTCATCAACCAATGCGTTCATAATATCTCGCACCAAAATACGCCGATAAAACACAAATCATAACATTTAGATCATCAGACAATGAGTTGCATGTCTGTCAAATAAAAATCTGAACACGCTGGATCTAAATTTGGCATATTGGATGTTGATACAAGGAGGGTATTTATAGATTTACAACGTGACAACCAGCGACGCCAGGAACCACAACAACAGTTACACCACTGATCGCGACAACAGCTTTATCAGAAACACTGACGACGGAGCCGGTGTGATCAAAGTATGTATCGACTCATCGATTTGCAGACAACCAAATCAGATCGGCCGTAAATTGAAGTTCGATAAGGGAATTATCATAAAAAAATAATCGAAAGCACCACAACAAAAGAGAGTTTACAAATTACACCAACTGACCCGCCTCAATCCCCCTCCCTTATTTCCACCGATAAAGTGCAGGTCATCATGACCTAGTCCGTCAGTTACGTTGGGCTGGGGTGGGTTTGTTACAGTCTATGTCTGCCCATTATAGGACACTTTAAGTAAGCAGGACATTGTTACAGTCTTTCATCAATACTGCTCAAGTTACTTGCATTACAATATATATATATATATATATATATATATATATATATATATATATATATATATATATATATATAATATTATAAAGGTATATATCATATATACATGCATATACATAATACTACTATATATAATGTATAGCGTTCATACATACATACATATATATATATATATATATATATATATATATATATATATATATATATATATAAATACATAAGTAAATACATAAAGAAATTTAAAAAATGATCCTTAATTCTGTTTGCTATATTAATATCTAATACAAAGAACATGTTGAAAGTACGATCCATCAACACAGCAATACATGACAGAAGTGACAGTCTACATACATAAGACGCAAAAGTCAGTAAAAAATATCAAAAATAGTTTGTTATTTTCGTTTCTTGTTGTTTTCTTTCGTTCAGGCTTTAGATCGAACCTTCAGCGAATAAGCCGTGATTCGATTAGTGGGCAATATTTAATATCGATTTTTGACTTGATGAGCACTTAGTAATAACTCTTAAAATCTGTATTGAAAACAAATGGGATCGATGATCGATCTTTTGCATCGTTGGTGACAACGCTTTTATAATATACTCAGTACTAATGTATTCAAATCAGCAACTTCAATGTATAGTCAATACTTACGTAGTCTAACGATTACATTTGCTTGTGTAATATAATCAATGAGAACACAGTCTAGTCAATGCTTACATGGTGTAACAAGAGCTGACATAGAATAGTCATTACTGATGTAATATTACATGCCTAGGCAAACTAGCATCAGCTTACATTGTGTATCCAACAGTTACAAAATACTACCCATGCTTACTTAATATAGTCAATATTTTTACATGATAGTTCTATGTTACGTTAGAGCCTACTTCACCCCTCATGTTCAATGATTAATTTACACGATCGCTAATGTAAACACGGGTATGTGATGGTTTGGTTAGTGCAATTATTGTTTTAATGGCGTGGTGAGGTGGTGTTTTAATAGCGTGATGAGGTGGTGTTTTAATAGCGTGATGAGGTGGTGTTTTAATACCGTAATGAGGTGGTGTTTTAATAGCGTGATGAGGTGGTGTTTTAATAGCGTGATGAGGTGGTGTTTTAATAGCGTGATGAGGTGGTGTTTTAATAGCGTGATGAGGTGGTGTTTTAATAGCGTGATGAGGTGGTGTTTTAATAGCGTGATGAGGTGGTGTTTTAATAGCGTGATGAGGTGGTGTTGTAATTGTGTGATGGGGGGGTGTTGTAATATTGTGTTGAGTTGGTGTTGTACTATTGTGATGGGGGGTGTTGTAATATTGTGTTGAGGTGGTGTTGTAATATTGTGATGAGGTGGTGTTGTAATATTGTGATGGGGGTGTTGTAATATTGTGTTGAGTTGGTGTTGTAATATTGTGATGGGGGGTGTTGTAATATTGTGTTGAGGTGGTGTTGTAATATTGTGTTGAGGTGGTGTTGTAATATTGTGTTGAGGTGGTGTTGTAATATTGTGTTGAGGTGGTGTTGTAATATTGTGATGAGGTGGTGTTGTAATATTGTGATGAGGTGGTGTTGTAATATTGTGTTGAGGTGGTGTTGTAATATTGTGATGAGGTGGTGTTGTAATATTGTGATGAAGTGGTGTTGTAATATTGTGATGGGGGGGGGGGTTGTAATATTGTGTTGAGGTGGTGTTGTAATATTGTGATGGGAGTGTTGTAATATTGTGATGGGGGGGGGGGTTGTAATATTGTGATGAGGTGGTGTTGTAATATTGTGTTGAGGTGGTGTTGTAATATTGTGATGAAGTGGTGTTGTAATATTGTGTTGAGGTGGTGTTGTAATATTGTGATGGGAGTGTTGTAATATTGTGTTGAGGTGATGTTGTAATATTGTGATGAAGTGGTGTTGTAATATTGTGTTGAGGTGGTGTTGTAATATTGTGATGGGAGTGTTGTAATATTGTGGTGAGGTGGTAATGTAATATTGTGATTGGGGGGGGGTTGTAATATTTTGTTGAGGTGGTGTTGTAATATTGTGATGAGGTGGTGTTGTAATATTGTGATGAGGTGGTGTTGTAATATTGTGTTGAGGTGGTGTTGTAATATTGTGATGGGAGTGTTGTAATATTGTGTTGAGGTGGTGTTGTAATATTGTGTTGAGGTGGTGTTGTAATATTGTGATGAAGTGGTGTTGTAATATTGTGATGGGGGGGGGGTTAATATTGTGTTGAGGTGGTGTTGTAATATTGTGATGAAGTGGTGTTGTAATATTGTGTTGAGGTGGTGTTTTAATGGCGTGATGAGGTGGTGTTGTAATATTGTGTTGAGGTGGTGTTGTAATATTGTGTTGAGGTGGTGTTGTAATATTGTGTTGAGGTGGTGTTGTAATATTGTGTTGAGGTGGTGTTGTAATATTGTGTTGAGGTGGTGTTGTAATATTGTGATGAGGTGGTGTTGTAATATTGTGATTAGGTGGTGTTGAAATACTGTGATGAGGTGGTGTTGTAATATTGTGATGGGAGTGTTGTAATATTGTGTTGAGGTGGTGTTGTAATATTGTGATGAGGTGGTGTTGTAATATTGTGATGAAGTGGTGTTGTAATATTGTGAAGAGGTTGTGTTGTAATATTGTGATGAGGTGGTGTTGTAATATTGTGATGAGGTGGTGTTGTAATATTGTGATGGGGGGAAGGGAAATGTAATATTGTAATGAGGTGGTGTTGTAATATTGTGGTGAGGTGGTGTAATAGCGTGATGATGAGGTGTTCTAATGACGTAATGAGGTGGTGTTGTAATATTGTGTTGAGGTGATGTTGTAATATTGTGATGAGGTTGTGTTGTAATATTGTGTTGAGGTGGTGTTGTAATATTGTGATGGGAGTGTTGTAATATTTTGTTGAGGTGGTGTTGTAATATTGTGATGAGGTGGGTTTTGAAATACTGTGATGAGGTGGTGTTGTAATACTGTGATGAGGTGGTGTTGTAATATTGTGTTGAGGTGGTGTTGTAATATTGTGTTGAGGTGGTGTTGTAATACTGTGATGAGGTGGTGTTGTAATGTAATATTGTGATGAGGTGGTGTTGTAATATTGTGAT